GTTTAACATGGCAGAAGTGTGGGAAGGGTGAAGATGCTCTGCCTTTGAAATAGAATACAAGAGAACAACAGCAACAACAAAAACACAAAACTGTTGCTGCAAGATAAAATGTAATTAAGCTCCAATTTGGATGAGCACAATATCATCTAAAAGATGTGCTAGAAAAACAGAAGTACGATGGCATACTTCTCTATTGTTACAGTCCATGTTGAGCAAATTGTATATTTAATAAATTTTGTATTGTACACCTATTTTTATTTGATGTCCAGGGTTGGTTGGTATTTTTTTGTGACCAGTATGACTGTAGTAAAGGGGAATCTTTGTGAATACGAACACGTGCATCTGCCCTCTTCTGACAAAGGTGCCCAATGGTCCTTTTCCTAAAGCAGCAATGCTCAGACAACAGATCCCTTCCCTATGGCAGAACCATAATGTATCTATCTACATTACTGCTCCACCAGGAATGGTTTTATAGTTGAAAATAATGCTAAGAACACGCACACCATCCACATTTATGGGTTTTATGCTGGGTAAGTCACAGCACAGCCCACTAGCCCAGCACCCTGTAGCACCTGGAGCACACAGATCACAGGCTGTTAGGCTGAGAAGTGCTGAGCACAAAGCAGGCTGGAGGACTCACTTGCTCTGTGCACAGAAACACAGTGCTCCCAGTTCTGCTGTTTTAAGCTTTGGGTGTTTGTTTGTTTTTCTTTCTTCTGTGGTTTTTATTTCATTTTTTGCTCTCTCGGAGGGTTCTATTTTGGAATGGATACCTTCCAGTTATATGCATGAATTATATTAAAAGCCAGCTGCTTTAAGTACATCCATATTAAGTTTCCCCTCTCAGAAGAATTCATGCTGACCTTTAAGTTACGTAGACAGACTTGGAGCGACTTCCACGGAATTCATTTCTCTGTCTCAGGCTTATAGAAACACTGCCTAATGTAAACTGTGGCACATGACTAATTAACATAAGGAGCACACAGCAAAACACACAGTTGTTCAACCTGTGGTCTGTAACACCCCATCGTACCCCCGAAATGAGAGGGACACAGGAGAAGCAGCTCTGGCAGAGAAGGGAACTTGGTATCTTATCCACCCCGTGGCAATAACATTTCCAAGTAAGGAAGACAGAAAACCTTTTGATGAGAAGTACTATGGCCATGTAGTTTACTTTATTAACTTGTTGTTGTTGTTACAAAGGAAACAGAATGTAGTGAAATGAACAAGAAACTACTGGGGAAACAAAACTATCAAGATAGGAAATGAAGAAGTAAACTTTGATCTATCCTCAGTAAATTGTGTGGCTACAGACCACACTACAGCAGCACTGAGAACTAACAGAAATGACACACAAACCAGGTCATGAGGCTTCAGATTTTGTTGATTCAAAGATTTAGATCTCAGTGTTAGAAGTGAGTTTCTGGACACTCCCCCCTGCAGGTTTTCAATATAACATTTTGAATGAAAACAGACTGTGAAAGGTGGTGGTAAAAGGTTTTCTGGTCAAGAACCAGAAAAAGAAGAAAAAAAAAAGATTAAATAAAAATGAATGAGCCACTGGTTTAACATCCAACCATTACGATACTTGCAAGGACAGCAGAAAAGAAGAAAACCCAGTGCTTCACATTCTTATGGAAGGAGTCCCTCTGGATTTCTGGCCAGCCCAGCAGCAGCCACACAAGCAAGTGCCCCTCACCTGGCATGGGCTGTCCCCAAAACCCAACAGTCTGAAAATAAATTGAGAGAATGAAGATGGGAGAAAAAAATTGAAGCAGCAATAGTTACACAGATTAAATATCTGCTGCTGCTTCAACTAATTCCTCTAATTTTTATTAGAAAATACACACGAAATTCCCCCTTAGCTGATTAGGTTCCACTCAGAGTGGAACGACGAATATCAAAAGGAAGACAGAGCCAAAATTTAACTTCAAAGCCTCCTTAATTTCACGTTTGATCTCTTGGAAGAAGAGCATTCATCCTGCGGTAGATCAGAAACGTGTTTTTGTCTCACATTCCCCTCTCAGTGCTCAGGTGTGCACTACATGGCAGCCCCCAGCAGCACTCACAGCTCACAGCTCTGCTGGCAGCATCCAAAAGTCCAACAAAGCCGTGACACAGCCTCACCATCATGCTTTCCCCACCACAAAGGCGATCAACAGAGCGAGGACTCCTGTTTCAGAGTGTTTCAGAGCAGTTTGTGTTTGTATGAGCAGACAGTAAACCACAAGTTTCAACAACCAGCAACGACAGCAAAATGCATCCTAAGAACGGGAGTCAGGGAAAAACACAGCCAAGAGAAAGTTAGCCCAGCTCTTCTGAACTCACCTCCACATCCATACTTCTCAGGGCCCGTTTCTGGTACTTTTCCACTGACAATTCTTGACTCCAAATCCCCTTTCTGACAGATTTCCTATCATGGCAAAACGCAACTGAATTCTGTGCCCTCTCTCTCAGCACCATTTGATTTCAGTGCACAATTACTATGGACCTTTCCTCTTCCCTTCGGTATCAAAGACAGGAGGAATCTGAAACAACTTAGGAAATAGCAAAACTCCCCACCCCTAAAGGTGCCCAATGTCAGCTTTCAGTCTAGCAGCAGCTCCAGCAGCGCTCTTTAAAACAGAGCTAGAACAGCTTCTTACAATGGAAACTCTGACAAACCAAGAACTATAACTATACCCGGAGCTGTCACTGTAATAGTCTTTCCTTTCCCTCATGTCATATTGAAATTTCCATTATGCCTTCATTTGCCCTTCTTTTCTATAAAGGCGGAAGATTAAAAAACGAGGGTGTTGTTTCTTTAATTCTTCACATTCCCAGCGGTTTCTATCATTGCATTTGTCCTTCCAGCTTCAGCTGGTGACTTTTTAAATGAAGCTTCAGAAAGTAGAACACAAACTGGATTCGGCTGTTTAACCTGAAATAACTGAGGTTTTATATTTCAAAATTATCATCCTGAGAGTGAGTGCTCTTTGATTTTGACTACAACTAAATACAGTGAATAAAAATGTCAGCCAGCAAAACAAAACCCACACCAACCCACTGCTTCCAGTAGCTGGGCTCAATAATCCCTCCAAGTCCCTCCCAACTCAGGATATTCCATAATTCTACTTTAGGAACTTCATAGTTAAAATACTCCCTGGATTTATCAGTGCACCACCAATGACTTCCTACAAACTATCACACAGCTTGGAATTGAAAATAGAATCACAGAATCACAGAATAGCAGTATTTCATTCACATTTTGACCGTGTACAAACACAGACCAGAAACACTGGAGTACAACAGCCTCCAAAGAGAAACTGCAGAGTCTTACTTGGAAAAAGAACACAAGTCAGGTGTGAATATAGTTAGGTTCCTGAAGAGCATCAATTCTGAAGCAGTAATAATAATTAAAAAAATAATCAGCCTGCTCTATCGCTTTCATCCCTGCTTCTGCTCATGCATGGCATTTGGAGGCAAGAAGGCACAGGATTAGTTCTCATCAGACAAAACTCTCCCCAGATTGCAGCAGTTGCAATAGTAGAAGGAATTCCAGGCACAGAAGAACATGTCCTGGAATTGCAATGCCACACTAAATCTGGCAGGAGGAGGGCAGAACATCAGGCTTGTGTGAATTATGAACCCTCAGATATCATTTAAATACAGCTCCGATTATTTCCTGCACACCAATGGAAATCTCTACAGCACATCTAAATAATTCCCTAACCAGAAATGGGATTCAGCTGCAAACACCACCTTCCTACTGCAGAGGATGCACTGCTCTACGCAGCACTGCTGTGGTGGGATGAGCAGCAAAGAGGTGGAGGATATTCACAGAATTTGGCATTAACATTCTGGAGCTTAAACCCTGTGCACAAGGTCCATGGTAAAACCATGGCTGCATTCTTACCATGCCTGAACAAAGCACGCAATATTTTCCCGGTATGCATCAGTAACGTCTCTCTGCAAGTCTCTACTTGAAGACAGGAAAATATCTTGCAACATCTTTAAATGGCATCTCGTGTTTGCGTTCGGATACTCTGAGGTTTCATTTCAAGAAGTATCAACTAACATCAACTTTCATAAAAATACCACAGAATCCATCATTTCACCAACGAAGCAGTAAATGCAGCATTCAGCAAAGTCAAATACGCTCTGAGGCATTAGCAAATAACCATTAAGAGAGCAATGAAAGAAACAGGCAGCTAATGAGAACACAAGGTACGCCTGCAGGTGGAACGTAGGGAAGGAGGTAGGGAAAGGAGAGGCACAACAAACACATGGCACAGAAAGGACAAATAGTTGGGTGTGGCTGCTTTATGATTAAATGGTCACTAATGATAAGAGTTTGGCAATAGCACAGAACACACGAGAACACAGTGCTTCGTGCTCTGGGTTTCCTGCATGTTGTTATCTCCCACTGCAATAGCTTTCAGTTTCTCAAGGTTAGAAGAATTATTAAATTGGTGATTTCTTTATTTTAGGTGGCATTATATGCACCTCTTTTGGGGGAGTGGGGGTTTATTGTCTATTACATAACACAGAGAAATGCCACCTATCCTAAAACGTAATAAAACCAAAGGTCCTCCAAACCATACAACGCATGACAATTAAAAGCAGGGACTTTGGGTTATGAAAGGAAGCCATATGACTAAAAAGTGAATCCATTTTCCAAAACGCCCACACAGACAAGAGCTTCTGATGTGAAAAATGGTCTCTGCAAAAGCTAAATTGCACAGATTATTCTCAGGAAAAAGTTCGAAGCTGCGCTCTACGCAGATCGGATGATATTTCTCTTTCTTAAATCTCCTCACATCGAACTCTCTTTCCATCATTTCAATGATATTGATCGTTCAGTGCATATGATATAAATACCAATTGTTAATTAAGCAAATAATTGTCTTCCTTTCAAATGTACAGAGGCAGAGCTGCTCAGGTTTTCCATGCTGACGGCCCCCCGCCGCAGGCACGCCTTGCCCACCTTCACACAGCAGCCAGAAAGCATCGAGCCTTACCTTGGCACTGGAATCCTTGTTTCCCAAATCCCCTGTGTAAAAAAAAAAGAAAATAAAGAACACCTGTCTCAGTATGCTTCGTTATCGCTTCGCTGATCTATAACCGCATCAAATTACTTTCTTGTTCAATTTCTTTACATTTTACCAGGACAGCAACAGACTTAAAAATACACAACGCAGCACAGCCCACCCATCCCCAGGCAGAGCACAAGTGCTGCCACTGCCTATTTAATTTCAGCTTCTGGCAACTATTTTTTATTTTTGTTATTATTTCACAAGCTATTTTCGACCTTCGATTATCATCATCAGTGATCACTGCAGAACATTTCAACTCTTTGAACACCACTGAACAGCAGTGTAAGACAGCCCAAGCTGCAGAACCCAGAACACAAACACGACTCCATTCCTCAGCCCCATCCCAGGGTGCCTGCAGTGTAGGAAGGAGGCAGATAAAGGGCTCTGTACAGATGAGAAGGCACTGGGAGCACTCTGATGCTCTCCCAGCTCCCCGCTTCATTTCCATAACAAAACACAATCGCGCCCCAATGAATGCAGCCAGGAGCTGCATTCATTCAATTCAGTGCCATCCTGAACCTCTCTTACACCTACAGCAAATCTCCACGCTGTTGCTTTTGCTTATTTGTTTACCTTTAAACACTCAACATCGCCTTTCCACAAAAATAAACGCTCTGAGGATCTGATCTATAAACATCTCTCTGCATCTCCCCTCTTTGTGGGATGTTTCTCAACTGGAGAGTCGCACGGCCAAGAGCAAACAGCCTGGGCAGGAGGCAGGCAGCTCGAGTTAATGCAGAGTTTCACTGAGTTTCACTGGGAACACTGCAGAAGTGATCTGAAAAAATTATCATCATTTTCCTTTTTTTAAAATTTAATTTAGAGAAGGGACAAAGCCTCCAGTATGAATTCACATCAGGTGGGGAGGGACTTTGTACAACTTGCAGTATTTTTTTCTGTCTTTCTACTGAAAAGCATTCTCCCCACTATCAACTTAGGTGCACCCAAGCTAAGAAGCCCAGAAGAGATATACAACCATGTGTGTAACCTGGCAGCGTGTGCCCCTATGTAATGTCATTCTGTCACCACTATCGCTTCACAAAAGTAGAAAGCACACAAGTGTGCAAATGTTGGAAAGCTGAGAGCAGGGTGAAGAACACAAAGCGGGCTTTTTGGTTTTATTTTCTCATCTTTTTGAACAGGCACATGGCAAAGGCCGCTGCTCTGCTGCCTACCCCAGGGCACAGCCACTCTTTATGGGCTGAGCTGAGCACATTCAGCAGCACAGGAAGGCAGCACCACCCAACGCTCTGCTCAGCGCATTTTAAGGAAGAGGTCTTCAAAATCCATCAGTGCTCAGAAGCAAAGGAGAGAGGTGAATGTTGTCTAAGAAGGTAAGGAAGGCTGTGTTATTTCAGGCTGTGTTACCCGGACGAGTCTAATCTAAGTAGAAAATCTATTTGCCCGGTTCATTGAAGGTCGCTTTTGCCATTCTTTATACCTTGAAGCAGATGTTAATAGCCACGTGTCATTCTGGAAAGAGATGAAGCATTTTTCATGGTGCGTGGCACTTATTCAAGACCTGTCTGTCTTCGTACAAGGAAATGAAACAAGTTCTAGAGCTGTCACATGCCCGTGTGCCGAATGCACTGATCTCAGCAACAAGAGAAGACCAGAGCGGCTCCCCGTGCCACCTGTCAGCTGCAGGATATCCTTTCCTTTCAGACCCATCCTGTCACCGGCTGCCTCTCTAACAGCAGCACTGAGCTCTGGTTTAACTGTGGCACTCAACATCACAGCGCTGCGCTTCCACACCTGCCCGTTCAATTCAGTCTGCTCTGAATTCATTTTAAAGTGGTTTGTGAAGGTCTTTCACTTTTCCAACAACTAGATTAGCTTCTTTTTCTTTCCAAATAGGATAATAATAAGTCTGCCTGTTTCCTCTGCACTCTCCTCATTCCTGTTCCCCCTCCTCACTCTGCAAATGTATGTTAAGCGTTTCTCCAGCATGCAAAAGGAGGGATGCTCTGCCAGGCAGGCTGTGCTCAGCGCCCAGGTGAGAAGATCCGGGCGCATACCCAGCAATGAACCGCAGCCCAGTTCTCAGAAGGGCAGCCGCCCTCTCATCCCAGCGGATCCAGCTGCCGCCGGGCGGGCGGGGAAACCGCAGCTCCGGCTCCAGCCCCTACCTATTCTTCTTCCCAGCCCCCAGCTCCGGCCGCTGCCTCCCGCAGGGCGCTCGGGGCCGCTCAGCGTTGCGCTGTCGCCCAGAAGAGGGCACGGCAGGAGGGTTCGGTGCGTGTTTTCCCCAAGAGGCTGAGTAATGAGGGTGTTGGAGGAAGTTTTCCTCCCCTCCCTCTAGCAGGAGCCATTCCTCGGAGAACTCTCCTCGCAGCAGGGGTGTCACCGCGCTTTCCCAGCCAGAGGAAATAAATCGAGCGCAAAGTTCCAGGCGGGGCCGCACAAGTTGTGTGCCACGGAGCTCAGCGCCCGCGAGCCGGGCCGCAAAGCGCGGCCGGGGGAGGAGACGGGGCCGCGGGGCACCGCGGAGCGGGACGGGGCGGGGAGCGGTGCTCGCCCGGGGGCAGCGGCTCACCTGCCCGGAGCGGCGGCGTCGGGGGAACGGAGGTGGGAACCGGGGGGAGCCGGGGCCGGGGGAGGAGGCGACCGCGGCGGGGAAAGGGGCGGCTCGGGGCCGTCTCTCACCAGATGAAGTCGGTGCAGTGGCTGCAGAAGGTGGGCTGCTTGAAGAAGCGCGCGATGAATTTGTGCTCCTTCACCTCGTGCACGTTCTTCTGTCTCAGGGCCCCTTTGCGAGCAAAGCGCCGCGCCGCGTCCGGGGCCGCGCCGGGCTCGGAGCCCGGGAACACGTCGGCCATGGCTCCCCGCTCTGCCCGCCGGGAGCCGCCCCGACGTCCGCCCCGTCCGGCGGCCGCCGAACCTCTGGCAACGCTGCGGCGGCGGCGGGCGCTGCCTCCCGCTCCCGAGCCTGACGTCGGAGCGGGAGGAGGAGAATCCCGGCCCCGCGTCGCCGCTCCGCCCGCGGGGCAGAGCGAGCCCCCGGCCGCGGCGGGGCGGGGCGGGCGCGGAGCCGCCCCCGGCTCCCCCCGGCCTCGGCTCCCCCCGGCCCGCGAGGGCGGCACCTGCTGCGGTCGGGGCCGCGCTCCCCGCTGACACACAGACACGCAGACACACAGACACACGCACAACCGCCGTACGCCGCCCGGCCCTTCCGCCTCCTGCCGCTCCGCCGCCGACAGAGGAGCCGCGCGGTTCTCCCCGCTCCCCGCCCCGCAGCGCACACGCAGCCGCGCCGCCCGCTGCCCTCCGGCTGCGCGGTACGTGCGGGGGAACGGCGGCCCCGCGGCAGCGCCCGCTGCGTTGGCCTTGCCATCCAGCACCCATCGCTGCCGTGGGACGGGCAGGAAGCGGGCGGCCAACTCCTTTCCACTAGTTGGTGCGTGCACACGTGCACAGCCACTTCTATCCCGTTTTCGTGCCTGTGTTACGCTCTGTAAATAACTGCTTTGCTCCTGTTCACATCACACAGTCTCAGGACGTGGAAACATTGTATGCACCCGGCACAGACATCATTTCCTACAGCGATCCATACAGTAACTCCGTGCATTCAGGAAAACACTGCATAAAGCACGGCAGTGTCCCAAAGGAAATAAGACTTAATCATTATCAAAAAATAAAAATGTTAGTGCCAAATATTTTTCACATACGGAGAATGGGTGCGCAGTGTCGTGAGGCAGCAGTGTGCCCTGGTGGCCAGGAAGGCCAACGGTTCGGTGGGGTGCATTGCAGGGCAGGGCAGGGAGATGCCCTGGGGGCACAGCTGGAGCACTGCGCCCGGCTCTGGGCTCTGCAGTCCCAGACAGAACTGTTGGAGAGAGCCCAGCAGAGGGTGCAGAGATGGTGGGGTCCTGGAGCACATCCTGATGGGGAAAGGCTGTGAGCCCTGGGGCTATTCACCTGGGGAAGGGAAGGCTGAGGGAGCTCTGAGCAGTGCCCATCAATAACTGAAGGGCTCTGGTGGTGCCCAACAACAGGACAAGGGGCAATGGGCACAAATTGGAACATGAGAAGTCGCACTGGGGAATCTCCAGAGGTCCCTTCCAACCCCTACAGTTCTGTGATTCTGTGACTAAAAGTTCCTCTGCCCTGCACCGTTCCACACCTGTGTAAGCATGTTCACTGTGCAATATTTCACAAGAATGAAAGAAGGCCAATTGATTCCAATTAAGTCTCATTTGCTGATGGGAGAAGTCGAGTGCAGACATTTACCATGCAATCATCACACGTTATCTCTCTTACTCTTGCTGTGCCAGCTTGGGTTTCTGGGTGCAGCCTGGCTGAGCTGCCACACCACAACCTCACACCAAAGAAGTGGGGACAGGGCCAGACTTCCTTTATTCTGCATTTAAGGAATCAGCTCATGTGCCAGTGAGTCCAATTACTGCCATGTGCCCTTACTTCACAGGCTCTTATTTTGCAAGCAACCACGTTCAAATTTGATCTGAAATTCAATAAAATAGAAAGATTTTGTGTTTGGTTTCTACCTATTGTGCACAGATGTTTCAAAGCCCTTATTTCTGTTCAGAGGGAATAGATTTTTCTTGTCTTAATTAACTTATGCCAAAGCACGAGGAGCACTGAGAAACATTTTGTACTCTCATTAAGTATTCTATCAAGAAATATGGAATGCATTCTTTGTTTTTCCTTTAGTGCTGTCTTACAAACAGAGCTACTGAAACTGGAGAGCCTGACCGATCAGACACACCTCCATTGCATCAGATTTGGGGGACTTTATAAATTATGTAGTTCCTTAAAATCTCACAAACCTGCTGATTCATTTTGCATTCCAGTTTCTTCCCTGAGAGCGGCTCTGGTTGAGATTCATTCACTGAAACTCTGGCATGTGTCCCAGGCTCCTATTTCCAGCACCTGCTGATCGCCTCGTTAGGCCTCAGGGAAAAGCCACAGTTGTGACACTGAGATCACACTGAGGTCACTCCTCTGCCTCACTGCATGTCAAACCCAACCAATTTTTTGTATATTATGAGTATGGCTATTAGGCAAGGGAAAAAATCCATTATGAGAGCATAGCAACCCTCAGGTTGGGCAAAGCATTATGGCATTATAACCTTCCCTTACTGTAAGTAATGTACAACTCCCCTGACCGCAGTATTTTGGATGCTTCTCACTTACACAAGGCTTTAATACACAAAAATCTGTATGTATACGTATCTGTGTTTAAACATCAAGATTTTTCACCACGTCCAGGAAATGTCACAGCGGTGCTATGATGGGATGCCATGTTCCACTCACCAGATGCTTTTGGTATATGCATCCCAACATCAGCTTTTAACAGCCTGGACATCCAATTTCCTCTGCCTGCAGGTCCTGTGGGTGCTACAGGAACTCACACTTCCTCTGTGAATTACTGGAGGAAAGCAGTCTGCCATTCTGAGCACACACAGCACCATCAGCAGCCCCAGCTTTGCCCTTCTGCTTCGGGTAGCACTGCAGTTTGTTTCTGAGTCAGGCCATCTGGCCAAGGAGTCAATACTGTCATCTGTGTTCAGGCATATAAGTGGTTATTAAATCAGAGCAGATTCAGAATTTCCAACTCCAAATCAGTTTATAGAGTCAGCCGATAAGAAATTTACTCATGTATGAATATTCCTCTGCTGGAAGGTCCCATTGGATGATGTGTTACTGAAGATGATTGCTCTAACAAACTCAGCTCCTCCAGGGCTTTCTATATCTGCATCAATACCATCCCAGGTCTGTGAGTGTCCCAGAGAAAGGTCCTGGATTGTTCTATTCTGATGTGTGCACTCTGCATCCGATCAGCTTGAAAGGCAAAGAGAACACCTTCATCACTGCCTTAGGCAGTTGTTGCTCTCTTTTATTATTTCCTGCTTCTTAGAAGTATGCAACAAAAAAAGGAATCACTTCCTGCTGTAGACCTATACGGAAGTTCACAGCCCAATTTCTCCTTACATTTCAAAACAAATTACAATCACTTCCTCTTCTAGGGAGCCATCAGAACAAGCAGTTAGATTCCTGTCCGGAAGGATGACTTCACTGCAAACTTGCTGTCTAAAAACAATCTCCTTCATTCAATCTCATCCTTCAAAGGAATTTTCACAGTCAGCTTCTGAGACATTTGTTCCAGCAACTATTGTGGAATAACTGTTTGCTGTAACGAAGTCCAAACCCATCCCCAGTTTCCACTAATATCCAGGATTCTGTCAAAATTTAAAGCCAGCTTTTCCCACTTTTTTTTCCCATACAACACATTCTTTGTTTCTCTCTTTGAAATCATGCAGAGTTTAGTTTTGAAGCTCCCTTTCTCAAATCAGCAGCTGTTAATCAGTACACCATGCCCATTCTGCTACAGGTTCTCCAGCTCATGTTAGGCGTTCAGCAGCAGCATTGTTTCTTACTCTTATGCAGACACTTTGGCAACAACGTACCATACGTGTTTCCAAGACTTAGAAAAAGGTAGGATGTGGCAGTGTAAATACATGTGTGAGCCTTCTTCTGTCTCCTGCTGGAGCCGTGCAGGAAGGCAAGAATATGTTCATACAATCACAGAAGCACTAAGGTTGGAAATGAGCACTGAAATCATCCCATCCAACCACTGACCTGTCCAACCACTCACCCATCCCCTCCGTGCTCGCTTTGCATCTTCCTGTACCAGCACTGCTATCTTCATCTTGGAGTCTGTCTGCATCTGTGTATGCAGGGTCTGTGTAATTCTGTGTCTTTCTGTGCTTACCCAGATTCTCTTTTCTGCCTTTCTTCCCCGAAGTTCCTGATATTCAGGTTAGGAAATACTGGATCTGTAGACAGAGCTTATTATCAAATTATTCCATGTGACAGCTTGTTCACACATGCTAGTACTAATGTGAAAGCTTGAGTGTATGTATTGAAGCAGTCAGAAAGAAGGCTGAGCATAGGAAAACAGTCTTACAAGAGATGGAATTTCACAGAATAAAATAGTGCCTAAGAGTTTGGGGACAAAAACAAAAAAACAAACAAACAAAAAAAAGCATCTGATAATGCACAGTCATTTGGAAAGGATGAAATTGCATCCTTGATATGCATCCATTAGGAAAACCCTGCTTTTCTTTCTGACATGTACACAGTGCCATCATTCCAACCTGCAATTCACTGAAAGTGGTGCAATGCCCACGTGTCACACAGAGCTGTGAGTTATCCCCACCGCCCTCCATAGGACTGGAAATAAATGGCTGGTGATATACAGAACACGGGGTAAAATAGATCTTCATTTTTCATATCAGTGTTCTCATCAGAACACTGAGTGACAACCGATTGTTTTCCTTTCTCACATCTGAGGTGCAGTAGGAACATGCTGAAATATCTCCTGCTTCTGGAGCTGAATCAGAGCTTGATGCTGTTACACACTGAAATGTGACGGTGGTCCTTTGGGACGTTTCATGGGTTTTTGTCTCTTTCTAGATTGTATAAATAAAAATTTCTGCCTCAGCTGGAGTGTTTTTTTATCACTGTTGTTTTGCAGTTTGTCCTTTCCACCAGCAATCTCTCTGCAAAATTTTCAACATCGCTTCTAAAAAGAAATTCACATTCTTTTGAGTGCATCAGAACAATTCTCTTGTGTAGGCAAATTTCAGTCTTCAAACGTACGCGTGGAAAAAAAGGCAGAAAGGCTCAGACTTGGAAATACAAACAAAGCACTCAAACCACACTGAAAAGAACAACCCTCTCTTGTGCCAGCCAAACAAGAGCGCCTCTATTATTGTGTTTAGAGAAACATGGCACACAGGTTCAAAGGAAACAAAGTAGGTGGTTCTTGTGATAGACAATGGGCTCCTGGAATCTTTGCCCAGCTGAACCAAGCACGAGGATTGGCATTGATGCAGGAGGCTGCC